TAGACCAAAGATAAAAATAGAACTCTGACCCACAGTCTGCAGCACTCAGTCTAGGAAGCCAAACAAACTCTATGGTAATCAACACAAAATGCCCAGGACTTGATTAATAACTGACAGTTTCCCTAATGTTTGCCCTTAATTTCAACTTAGAACCAACTGGAGAAGGCCAAATGAATATAACCTCTAACCAATCACATATAATGCCCTGCTTCTAGTTAGCCCAGCTACGGCTTCCCCATGCCAACAGCCTCCTCCTTCAGGCATACCTGAAGCCTTCTCTTTTTTCCTCTGTAAAGTTTTCCTACTCCTCTGCCTGCCTTTCAGTCTCTGATAAACACAAGTGACGTGGCTGACTCCCTTGCTATAGAAAGGTCGGAATAAATAGCCTTTGCTTGTTCCCATTTGGGTGGTCAGTGTTTATTTTCACAGAAGATAATTCATGAGTTGCTATTTGTTGAAGCTGTGTAATAAGTATATGGCCTTTCATTTGTACTATCTTCTCTACTTTCATATATATTTGAAATTTCCCACAGTAAAGAATTCAAAATATTTCAAAAATATCAATGTCATTAAAGATTTTTTAAAAAACAATAGAGAATGATTCTGGATTAAAGGAGACTAGAGACATGACAAGTAAATGCAATGCATGCTCTTTGATTGAACAATAGATTTAAAAAAGTAGCTATAAAGTACATTATTGGAAAAATTGGGGAAATTAAAATTCAACTGCATATTAGACAAGAGTATCAGATCAAGATTAAGTTTTCTGAGTGAATAATCTTATTTGGCTATGTAGGAGAATGTCCTTGTTCTTAGGAGATGATGTTGAAGTACTTGAGGTAAAGCGTCATGACGTCTGCAATTTAACTCACAAGTAGTTCATGAAAAAGCATATGTAGTTAGAGAGACAAAATAAATTAAGCAAAATGTTAACGACTGGCAAAACTAAATGAAAAGTATAGAATATAAGTTTAATGTTATCACAATTTTTCCATAGGTTTAAAGTTTTTCAAAATAAAAAGATAGAAAAGAGTATAATAAATACATGTAATAGTACAAAAAAAAGTAAAGTAAGAAAAGTAAGCAAAAATTCCCAGATACTTACATCAATTTTTTTAAAATGAAAGAATAATCCAAAAACTAATAATAGTTAACTAATATCGAGGAGGAGGGGACAGGATAGATGAGATGGGGTTGAAAACTAGGTTTATCCAAATGGATATTGTCCATAAAAAAATGTTCTTAAAATGTACTTTGTAAATTATCCTTATATTCTAAATATCCTGTCAGTGAACATTTTCATTTACTCTACTTCAATATTATTTAGTAGTGTGGTATGGCATCTCCTTATTTACTTATCCATCCACCCATGTATCCATCCATGCATCTATCCGTGCATCTGTCCATCCACCCATCTGAGGGAACTAGTATGTAGTTACTGTTTGTAAATGCTCCTAAACATTAGAAGAATGTTATCTACTGTTCAGAACTATTAGGCCTTTGTGTATTCTTTTTCTGCATGATTGCTCCTGCTCTGACAGTGACTTGTTAAATATCTCCTTACTAGTTTATTTTCCTCATTTTAATCATTTTTCTAACTATCTGTGACATACACGCATGCATTTTGATGTTAATATTTGATGCAAAAAAAGAGTTATGTCTTCATTATGCTTTGTAATATTTCTCACTGTATAGAGATTTTATCTTCAGAGTTGAAGATTCTAAGAAGTGAAGTAACGAAGAACAAAGCTTCTCAATGAGAAATTACGAAACCAATTCACTCCCATACTTCATTATCTGAACCCAAAGCCCCTCAGACTGGTTCCCCAGGACTACGCAGAGAAAATGGAAGCACGTGATGTGATGTGCCGGAAGTCTTCTCGGTGGCATGTTTGGTTCTACTTTATGGGGTGCAGAGGGTCTAAATAACTTGCCTGGTTCAGTCACACAGCGAGAAGATGTTGGAGCCGGTATTCAAGCCACGTCCCCTCAATCAGAGCCAAATCAGGAAGCCTTAGAGGTAACAGAATGACAAAACTGACTCCACCTTGGCAGATTCTGCTAAATCCTAACAACTCTGTGATTCTGCTTTGAAGCTGGCATGGGATCAGTAAATAAAACTCAGGGCTTGCCAAATGTGGGAAACTTAATACGGGGTCTCTGCATAAAGCTAGGACTCCAAATGGCTCTACTTCCAAAATAAAACTAAATCAGAGACAAACTTTGCCATCCAGACGGAGTGGCAAAGGAATTTGTCTTGACCTTGCCTTTCTCAAGTACGTCTTGACCTAAGAATTAATTACCACAAATCGGCCCCGTGGCTAACTCATGCCACATGTAGAAGTCTCAAAAACTTCACGGAGATAACTGGAAGTGGCCCCAGGTGGATGCATCCCCAGGAGAATGGCTCGAGTGAAAAATCATCAATCTATAAAAAGATAAAATTATCTCCCTACCTTACACCCATTTAAAAAAAAAAAAACAAAACCCCAGATAGTTCAAGGATGTAAATGTTAAGATAGAAACATCAGCATTCTTAGTAGAAAGTATAGCTAATATCTTTAGACCTCAGGGCAGGGAAAGATTTCTTAAGCAAGACACAGAAGGCACTTACTATAAAGACTGATAAATTTGACTATACCAAAATTGAGAATTTTATTTATCAAAAGACACCTTAGAGGAAGTGAAATATAATTTAAACTAAGAAGATATTCACAATACACAATTGAAAAAAGATTAGTAGGAGATTGAGGGAGAATACACAAAAGGGAAAACTTCCACAATTACTTCATATCCTCAAGACTTTTTTACAATGTGCACATATGTTGATTTTCTAAATTAAATTGAAGAAATAAAAATATCCACTAAAGTTGGGTTCAATGTCTCCTGTCAGAGATTATCTACTGATATCTGTTGACGCTTAGGTGATGTGAATGAGGATAAGGAAATTCAGGATATTAATACTGACAAATAGAAATGGCAAGCAACAGGATATATTGGAGAATATGAGGAAGCCATTTGGTGTAAACCTAATTCGGCCTGACTTTGTTTTTTTTCCAAAAGGGCCTGACGTGGCCTTTGAGTATGCACTGTATATCTGCTTTAAAACATTTACTATGTCAAGAACAAATGGCCTTAAGATAAAGGTGCAACTTCCCCCACATTGGCATTTCCTTAAGGATAAGCATCTTTCCTTAGGCTAGGAACGGATTGCTGTGCTCTCCTGTGACCACCCAGCTCGAGACAACAGACCTGCCACCCTGCTGTGTCCACCGAGACAGCAGACTTACCTGCTGTGTCCATCAATCGATGTGCGGACAGAGCAGTCTCGCGACTATTGTAAAAGGGACATTTCAATCATATGTGAAACATCCTGTTTGGGGGTATATAACCACTCTGTACACCCCACTTCTTTGGTGCCCTTTCTTCCTTTGGGAAGAAAGGCCTCGGGCCATGGTCCTCACATTTTAGCTCAGAATAAACTCTCCCAAATTTTCATTTATAGATTGGTTATGGATTATTTTCGTTGAAAATACTATTGTGGGGGACTGGAATTGGCCACCCCCAGATATGTCTCTCTGGCATCAGGATTATTTGAGGCTGATTGCTTTTGATAAACTGGGACAGGGCATGAGGCTCTGAGGAATGGAACTTGCCCTTTGTTAGGACACATTTACATTGTAAAGGAACTCTCCATCTGTAACGATATCCCCCTCTCTGTACAAGGAAGATGGGGAGATGACCTTGTCTCTAGAAACTCTTAATCAATGGGGAAGACAAGGACTTAAATCTGCATTTTATTGTGCCTGTCTGGTAACCTCCTGTAACTGACTTCCCTCCCGCTCCCAACGTTGGCATCTGCTTAAGGATTAAGCATCTTTCCTTAGGCTAGGAACTGATTGCTGCGGTCACCTGTGACCACCCAGTTCAAGACAATAGACTTGCCTCCTGCTACGCCCACTGAGACTGCAGACCACTACCTGCTGTGTCCATCAAGCACTGTGCCAACAGGGCAATCTTGTGACTATTGTGGGAGGGACATTTCAATCATATGTGAAACACTCTGTTTGGGGGTATATAACTACTCTGTGCACCCCACTTCTTGGGTGCCCTTTCTTCCTTCGGGAAGAAAGGCCCCGGGCCATGGTTCCTCATAAAGCTTTGTTTAATTTTCTCTTGCTATTCTGTCTCATGTGAATTTAATTCGTTCTCCGGCCAGACGAATCCACATTTGGGAAGAGGAACTGTCTTCCTCCCCTACACTATCCCCCTTATGAAAATGATCAAAATTTTCCCTTAAAAAGATTTTTAAAAACAAACACATTATAGCTAACTGTAAGAACAAAATAGTTTGCACAGCAGACGCTATCTATTCTAAAACAGCTACCAAACACTATTTCTAGAAATTCACTAGAAAAAGTCTAAGAACATGCATGGGATGATACACACCAGCTTCAGGACAATGATTTCCTGTGGGGAGGGAAAGAAAGGATGCTTTGGTGATACCTATTTCAAGCAAGCCAGACGCGATGGGGCCAGCTGGGTGGTGTAGTGGTTGAGTTTGTGTGCTCCCCTTCAGTGGCCCAGGGCTCCCCAGTTTGGATCCCTGGCGTGGACCTACACACCACTCATCAACCCACGCTGTGGTAGCATCCCATATACAAAGTAGAGGAAGATTGTCACAGATGTTAGCTCAGGGACAATCTTCCTCACCAAAAAAGAAAGAAGAGAGAGTGAGGCAAATGTGGGAAAATGTTACCATCTTATTAAACAGAGATGGGGGTTGGGAGAACGGCACATAGGTGTTATATAACTTTTTTTAAGTGTGTGAAATCTTTAATAATTTAAATTTTTAACTAAAATTAAGAACATTGGAAATAAATGCGTATCAACAGTAGTCTTAGGATATTGGAAACAGGTGGGATTTCTCTATACTTGCTAAGTTTTCTGTGATGACCAGCTCTGATGTTTACATTTTAAAACAAGGCACACTTGCTTGAATGACTAAAGTCCTAACCAACCAGCGAGTCAGAAGACAACGGGGAGCGGAAGAGAGAAAATGTAAACCCTGCGAGCCGGCCTCCCCACCCGCGCAGGAGGGACGCGAAGCTTCGACGGCATCCCAGCGACGCACGGCCACGAGGGCGCCGGCGACCGCCCCACTGGACCAGCCGCGCACGGCGGCAGGGCCTCCAAGGCTAGACCCGGCAGGAGCTCAAACACACAGCAGCTCAAGGTCAAGGAGGACGGCCCAGTGCCAGCGACAGGAGGGAAAGGACGCCCCCCAAGTGGCCCGCGGGCCCAGCACCCACGTCAAGCGGGCGGCCCGTCGAGTGAGCGGCCCGGCGGGAGGGGCGGAGCCCGTCTAGTGGGCTGGGGTGGGCCCGTCGGGACGTGCCCGGCGGGAGGGGCGGGGCCCGGCGGGAACAGCGACTGGCCCGGGCCGCCGGCCTCCCGGGGAGCGGGGAGCCCGGCGCCGGGCGCGGGGCGGCAGGTCGGCTGCCCCTGGGTCGCTGTGCTCGCGCGGTGGACGCGGCAGCGGCTGCGAGGGCCCGCGGGGAGGGGCGGACGCCTGCTGAGGCCCTGGCCGGGCTGCTACGGCGAACGCCTCCGACCCCGCGGGCTCGGCCCCGGCCGTGGTGGTTTCCCGCGCGGGAGCTGAGCGGCCCGTCGGCGTGCTACCTGGAGGCTCGGCTGGCCGGCTGCGTCTTCGGTGAGCGGCCCCGCGCTGCCGCTGGGAGGGCAGCCCAGCGGAGCAGCTCCCCACGGTGTCTCGGCCGGGCGGGCTCGCGGGCCGCGTGTGCAGCCCCGGGGCGCAGCTTGCAGCTCTTCCCGCCCCGCCAGCCTTCCCCGGCGCCGGGCCGGCTCCCCTCGCCCTTCCGCGCGCCCCTCAGCGGCGCTCTCTTCCCGCCTAGGCCCCGACCGAGCCGCCGTCCCCGAGACGGAGTCGAGGAGCCAGGCGCTGCTGACGGCGCGCGCGGTCGAGCCCGGCAGCGCGGTCGAAGTCACCGTCTTTGGACAGCCCCACGGACAAAATCGGGTGAAGGGAGTGCTGCAGAGCCTCGCGGCCTGGCACCGGGAACGGCGCACCCGAGGTGAGGGTCCGTGAGCCCTTCGGGAGGGGGGCGCCGCGGGCCGGCCGCTGGGCCGCACCTGGCTTCCCAACGGCCCCTCGGAGCCGCCCGGAGCTTCCCGCGGCTTCCAGCTCCGGGCGCGGCGCGCCGCCGCTGGGCGGCCCTGGGCGAGCGGAGGCCGAGAGGGCCCTCGGGCACCTGCGCCGGGACCGCGCGCGCTCGGGCCCCGCGCCGCCCCGGCCAGCCTCAGCTTGCTTAGGCCGCTGTGTCCAGACCCCGGGTTCGAGCCTCCGCCCTGAGCGAGCGTGCTGCGGTTTCCCCGCCCCCTCTGCCCCAAGGACGGTGGGATGGACAGCCCCGAGCGCTTTCCCTCCTCCAGGGGAGAAGATGGAGCAGCTGGAGGCGTTCTTGAAGGCCCGGGCGCCGCGGCCGCAGCCTCCCGCGCATCCTGTCGCCTGAGCCCTGCCGGGAGCCTTGTGGAAACAAGCCTGCTTCTGCCAGTCAGGTTAGAGAAGCAAGCATACGTGATCTCCCTAGCCTTTTTTCCTGTGTCCCTTCGGCAGTGGTTTGATTGTTTTGATGTGAACATGAGTTTGTAGTGCCATTCTAGTAAAGAAATGAATTTCATTTTTGCTCAATGGCATAAACATTTTTGTTCACTTAAAATTAACCAGGTTTATAAAAGATTGATCTGTTGGTGCACGTCCTGATGTGACGGGTGCTGATAGGCAGTGGTTTGATTTATTTTTCTTAGTTTCTACTGTTTTGAAACTCCTAACCCCTTTACGATTTTATGGTCAGAGTGAGGCCCTCAGGTATGGGGGCAGAGATGCAGGGTCAGTCTGCTTTGGGTTTTTTGCATCATTTGTTCCCAGACTAAAAATGTGCAAGAAGCACCTTCAGAGCTTGCTAAAACACAGTTTCCTAGGCTGCTGGTCTGGTGATTCTGATTCTGTACACTGGGCTCGTGAATTTGCGCATCTAACAAGCTCGTGGTGAATATCAGTGCTTCTCCTCTGGGGCCCACACTTCTGAAGCCGATGGTTTGCCCCTGAGTAGCGTGAGTGTGCCTTTTCTTCTTGGAGTGGAGCCCCTTTTTGTGTGCACAGGCGGGTGTTCCAACATGCAAGCTGAGGCTGCTGGCAGTAATTCTGCTGCTGCTTGCATTCACCAGAAGAGAATCGGTGTCACGAGCAGCTTGGCCATAGGAGGGGTCCTACTGCCAAGCCCCCGTCTCCTTTTCCCCTCAGGCCTGCAGGGCTGGGTGGTTTTCCCGTTACCCATTACAATGCTGTGGGCAGTTTGTGCAAAACAGCTCAGACCCCTTGCTGCTTCCACTTTCAGGAAGCAGAATTCTTTGGGGAGAGGTTGCTAAGAGCTGTGTGGCTTCAGACACAACATTGGAGTTGATTTAACTCATGTGGTCTCTTCACCCCTTAGCAGTAACAGATTCTAGCCGTTTGCGAGGGTTTTAAACACACATATAGACAAGTCTTTTAAAATGTGCTTGTTTGATTGTAAATGATAATGAAGGTTTTCCTACTTTGCTTCACATTTTTGTAAAATGCCTTTACATTTTTCTTTATTCATTCTTACCATTACTTCTTTCAGCTCTGAAGATAAGGATTTTTGTCATCTCCATAAGCTTTTGTAACAAATAATTGTCCATTATAACCAATGTTTTCCACCCCTTTGCTTCTCAAATTTTTTACATATGAAAAATTTTCATTGTGTGTAGTTAAATTATTCTTCTTTGTGTGACTTCCCCCTTATTCCTACCTTTTATTTTGTTGTTGTTGAGGAAGATTGGCCCTGAGCTAACATCTGTTGCCAATCTTCTTTTCATCCCTAAAGCCCCAGTACATAATTGTATATCTTAGTTTTAGGTCATTCTAGTTCTTCTATGTGGGGCACCGCCACAGCAAGGCTTGATGAGCGAGTGGTGTTTAGGTCCACACCCAGGATCCAAACCGGAGAACCCTGGGCCACTGAAGCAGAGTGTGCGAACTTAAACACCCAGCCACATGGCTGCTCATGTCAAACCTCACTGAAGGTCAGTGACCTGGGGAAGATTTGAGGAGGACAGCAGGGTAGTCCTGGGTCTTTCTCCCAGTTTCCCCCTCCTCCCGTGGGTTGCTGCTTGCAGCGCCACAGTACGTCCAGCTCTGAGGCCGGGTGAGAACCACATGTTCGCATCCCACATCACCTTGAGTAGAAACACCACAGGCTTGGAGGTTTCCCGATGAGGACCACTTGATGGGCTGGAGAGCCCTCTTACCTGGTGGGGCCAATCTTTTTTTTTTTTTCTCCCCAAAGCACCTCGGTACATAGTCGTATATTTAGTTGTGGGTCCTTCTGGTTGTGCTATGTGGGACGCCAGCTCAGCATGGCCTGATGAGCAGTGCCATGTCTGTGTCTAGAATCTGAACCGCTGAAACCGGGGACCACCAAAGCAGGGCGCACGAACTTAACCAGTCGGCCACGGGGCCAGCCCCTCACCTGGTGGAGCCAGATGTGTGCAGTTAAAAAGCACAAGGGAATTACCTGTCTGTGGTGGGAAAACGCCGGCCTGGGATCAGCTAGAAATCCTAGCAATCTCACCTGCATCTGGGTAGAAGTCAGCCTAGAGCAGATTCTGGCTGCTGAAGCAATGTGCCTCTCCCTCCCATTCTACTGCCGGTTAGCAGACATTAGGGAAACTCGATTCTTCATTAAGGAGATTCAGCTCTGTCGACGAAAATAATCCATAACCAATCTATAAATGAAAATTTGGGTGAGTTTATTCTGGGCTTAAATCTTAGGATTATAACCCGGGAGAGTCTTTCCACAAAGCAACAAAGCACTCCAAAGAAGTGGGGGTACACAGTGTGGTTATATGCCCTCAAACAGCGTGTTTCACATATGATTGAAATGTCCCTCCCACAATAGTCACAAGATTGTCCTGTCGGCACAGCGCTTGATGGACACAGCAGGTAGTGGGTCTGCTATCTTGGAGGGTGTAGCAGGAGGCAAGTCTATTGTCTCAAGCTGGGTGGTCACAGGTGAGCACAGCAATAATCAGTTTCTAGCCTAAGGAAAGATACTTAATCCTTAAGGAGACGCCAACGTGGGGAGGGTGAGGGAAGTTGCACCTTTATCTCAAGGGCCTTTTGCTCTTGCCATAGGAAATCTCTAAAGCAGATATATAATGCATGCTCAACGAGCCTCGGTCAGGCCCTTTTGGAAAGACAAGGTCAGGCCGAATTAGGTTTACACCAAATGGTTTCCTTGTATATTCCAATATATCCTATTACTTGCCATTTTTATTTGTCAGCTCTTTATTAGAATTCTTTATATTCACATTTGCAAACATTTAACATGGAGTGGGGGATGAAGAACAACCCACACCTTTCTTTCCCCAACTTCTGAAGCAGGAGCAGGACCTCGAAGAATAGGGCTTCAGATAGAGGCAACGTTAAAGTGGGAGCCCCTGTCTCCCCCCGGCCGAAATGCCTCCATACGTGGTAGCCCGGCCCTGGGTGGTGGTGGGCAAGTGCCGGGTTGCCCCTCCCAGATGGCATCAGGGGCTGCTGGTCCCCTGCCTCCTAGTCAGGGGCCTTCATTGAGCCTGGAAATCCCCTTTCCTCACTTAGCTGCCTCTTGATTAAGCCATCTTTTTGCTGCAATCTTGTGGTCTCAGTGTTTGGCTTTCTGGGCACCAGGCAAAAAAGGAACCTGGTTCAGTAACACTTTGTGCCTGGAGTTGGCATGATAGCCTAGTTCATGATCATCTTGGATACATCCTTCTGGTAATCAGGACAACCAAATATCAAGATCTCAGCCTCACCTTTTGGGTCCCACTGATTAAGGTGAAGCAGGGTCTGTGACACACACTTGATGTGCAGGGTGTGCTCTCAGCCCTGGCCTGCGCAGGAAACAAAGAGGCCATGAGGGGTGGGACTTGGGAGGGGAAGGCAATGGGAGGAGGCGGGGGTACGGAGGGGGCCTGGATTGGGGCCAGGGCCACAAGACAGGCTTGCCAAGGTACCGGGCCAGTCTTGGGGATAGGGTAGGAAGGAGGCCACATCAGCTGCCCCTCTCAGGCCCACTCACCAAAGGTCGCTTCCACCAGCCATGACTCGAGATGAACTGCTTTTGGACTCTTCAGGTACTCAGAGTGGCACCAGTAGGGCTGCTTGGTGAGGTTACCCAGCACTTCAAATAGCATCCCTTCTCATTGCTCCAGCTGCACAGCATCAGAAGCTGCTTGGGAGTAGCCATGCTTTGGTGGGCCCCGCAGGGAGCGCAGTACAGTTGCAAACCCCAAGGGTGCTATTGGGACGGGCTGTGGCATCAGCGTCCCAGCCTGGACCTTATTTCGAGGGTTTTTGGTAAGCCCTTCCCCATCCGGGCCTTCCCATTGGATTCAAGGCCTCGCCCCCCAAACCTGGCAGCCTCGATTTCCTCCCCAGATTGCACAGATGCACTGGGGTGCGCTCCTGGGAAGCTCTTGGAACACCTTTGTGTTTGGACCTGCCCTTTCCCCAACATGCTAGAAAGGAGGGGTGGAGCTCGCAGCTTAAGGCTACCATCTGGGAAGCTGCGGCAACCTTAAGTGTGGACTCAGGGAAATAAGGAAGATCTGACATCAGGACAATATCATTCAGAGGAGCAAAGTGATATTTGCAGAGACTCAGGTGCCTTTCAGGCAGTTCTGACGGGACCAGTTTGGCATTCCTGGGAGGCTGGAATAACTTTTTTTCCCCTCTCCTCAAAGCCCCAGTGCATGGTTGTATATCCTAGTTGTAAGTCCTAGTTCTTCTATGAGAACTCCCACCACAGCATGGCAACTGACAGAGGGTGGTGTGGTTCTGCCACTGGGAAACAAACTCAGGCGACCAAAGCAGTGACAGCATGTTCCTTTAACCACTAGACCATCAGGACTGGCTCTGGAAGAACTTTTTAATGGAAAATACAATTAAATACATTGAAAAAGCAAAAACTGGGGCACATTTGTACAGTGACAGATGGAAACAAGACTTGGTGATCAGCATGATGTAGTCTATGCAGAAGTTGAAATATAATGATGTACACCTGAAATTTATATAACATAAATCAATTACCTCAAAAATAATTCAAAAACAAACTCAAATAAACAAGATATTCAAGGGCTAAAGTAAGTCCCCCACTTCCTCCTGAACCCTGACTGTTAAGTTCCCCACGAGGCCACCACATATCCAGCTTCTTAACCTGTCAGAGACAGTTGAGCAGATGGTCCATGTGCTCTGGACACCAGAAGGGGAATCCTTTGAAACAGTTTGATGCCTTAATTCTGTAAATAGCATAATTATATTTCCATTTCTTGATTTTTCTGTCCAGGTTAAAGCATTACCTATTAACTGCCGCTCAGGAAGATGAAGCTATATAGTGCTCACATCAGTAGTTGGGGTGTCATGCCCAGACACAGCATTGAGAGATCCCTGGAATTCAGTCAGACTCATCGTTGTATCCTCTGTGGGAGCCCTAGGCCAAAGAAGCGTGTGAGAAATTTGCAAATGTCTGAGAGGGTCAAATGTCTTGAGATCTAAGCAGAATACGAATTAAGAGCCAAAGAAGGACAAAATCCATTCAAAGAATCTCAAGATGGAATTTCAAGCTTCTGTGGGTAAGCAGAATAATTAGGTGAGTGTATAACTGAAACCCAAATGTCTGGACTCCACACCTGTCCCCTCTGGAGGTTATGGGGTCACTGACATAGCCACTAAAAATTGAAATTTGAGGTCCCATCAGGATTACCAACAAGAATTCATTCCAGGAGCCCTCCCTATGAAAATCTCCAGTCGGAACCCTGTTTCTTACACCAAAATGACACAGGACGATGTCATCGTTCCTGGTTGGCATCAGAGGACACTTGTCGTTCTGGGCATGTTATTGTCATTTATGTGTGTGTGTAGATATCTTTTACTTCCTTGAAGCTTCAGAATTTGGTATAGAAATATTTAAGAGAATTAAAACCATACTATTTGTGATTGTGTTTAAAAAGAACCTGTCACATAAATTCCTAGATTACGCAAACTAATCTATAGTGACAGAAAGCAGGGAGTGGCTGCCTGGGGATGGGGTGGAGGCAAGAAAGGGATTGGAAAGAGGCACTAGGAAACTCCCTGGGGTGGTGGAAGTGTGCTGCATTATCCTGATTACAGTGATGATTTTGCTGGATGTGTCTATATGTCAAAACTGGTCAAATTGTACACATTTTAATACAAGCAGTTTATTGCATTTTATTCTTCAAAATGGTTAAAAAAGAAAGGAATACCATAAACATGGTATTTTATGTTCCTGTAGTATTTTAGATATTTAACATGTTAGACAGTTTTGTAATGCCATTTAAAAATATAATTAAGTAATGAATTTAGATGTGCAGCTTTAAGATGAAATCTTAGTTTATATTCAGTATTGGATCCCTGAAGAGAACTTCAGGTCCAACACATTAACAAGTTTTATTTATTTGATTTATAGGAATTGTTTACTAATTGGGAAGCTCTTATTTGTTATTTGAGACTATTAAAGTACTTTGTAATGCTCTTTGCCATTTACGAGGATGTTTAGTTAATTAAATTTGTCAGTGGGACCTGTGTCATTCAGAGGTCATTAAACCTAATTGTTAAAACTTTCTAGGCTTATGAATAGGATAGTGAGTTCTGAAAGTAAAACTTGAGAGCTTAAGAAGGATAGAGGTTTGGTTTTTATATTTTTGGGAAATAAAATATTAATTCTCAAAGAAGCCTCTAAACAAAAGGGAGCACACCAATCCCCCCTGGGCTCCACAAAGGAAAAGTGAGCCAACATCTTCCATCCTCCGCCCCAGCTCACCTGCACGCATCACTCCTGGCATCCTCCCAGGTCAGCAAGATAGTTTTGTTAGGTCAGTATTCAAGTCGATACTGTGGGGGCCTTGAATTGGCCACCCCAAGATATGTCTCTTTGGCATGAGGATTATTTGGGGCTGGTTACTTTGCAGATAGGAAAGCAACTGAAAAGTAGAATTTACTTGCCCTTTGTAAGGAGACATTTACATTTGTAAGGGAAATCTCCATCTGTAAAGATGTCTCCCTCTCTGTACCAGGAAGAAGGGATGACCTTATCTCTAGAAACTCTTAATCAATGCCAAAGGCAAGGACTTAAATCTGCATTTATTTACTGTACTTGTGGGGTAATCTCCCATGGTCGACTCCCCCTCCACCCCCAACATCCTCCTTTGTCTTTAGCTGAAGATGATATTTAAGGTCGGGGCTTCAGCCATTTTGGCGAGTTGCTCAGCTTGCCTGAGCCTCTCCCATGTATACATGTTATAAAGCTTTGTTTAATTTTCTCCTGCTATTCTGTCTCATGTGAATTTAATTCGTTCTCCAGCCAGAAGAACCCAGAGAGGGTAGAGGAAATGTCTTCCTCCCCTAAAATACTATTACGACCTTGTAAATAGTATTCGCAGCTACATATGGTTTATTATGATTTCTTGCACAAAGTCTTGTTTTCCTTAATGTTGTTGCTTTTTTATTTAAATGCCTATTTTTCCATATGTTCCTCCTCTGTCTCCACACTCTCCCTGGCTGTAAGTTCCTCCTCAGGACTTTCTCGCACTGCAGGCACTTCCTCCATCCATCCTGATGGTGTTGGCATTGCTCCTGCAGTCTTCAGGGTTCTGCTCTAAGCGAGCTGCTCTCAGGCCCCGGTTCCTGGGCCCCTGTGGATAACTACAGCCTTTTCTGGTGTGGGACCCTGGGCTTTCCGGACCCCATGACTTCCTTACTTTCTTTTTTGTTTTGTTTTGTTTAGTAGATTTTATAGTACTAGCAATAGTATTCAAGCAAAAAATTTTTAATTGATACATAATCATCTTCAAGATGATCCTTGTGTTTCCTACTATGACTTATCTTTTCCACTTTGTCTCTGATTAGCTTCCGGATCAGGTTCTCAAGGGCCCACCTGCAGCTTGGTCTGGATGCGAGGGGGGAGAAGCTGTGATGCAAGACAAGCGGAGAGAGCAGAGAGCTGGCCGCCTTCGGGATCGGCCCCGGAGGGCTAGGCCACAGCCAGCTCACACTTGGTATGGTCAGGGAAGCAGGAAGAGCGGGTGTGGTGCCCTCCAAACCCTACCCTGGCCCACACCCACCTCAAAGAACCCAACGGCGGTGGGCAATGAGCAAGTGAGGCCTCAGGACTGGCTCCCCTACCTTCTCTCCCAATCACTACCACTTACTCTCTGCAGTCTCTGTGGACTGATCTCTGCAGTCATCTCCATGCTGAAATAACATCCCTGCACTGAAGACTTGAGAGTCACCTTCCTAATCCCAGCCTCCCTCCCACCTTCACACCTACCTCGAATCATCCAGGTATCCATCCCGCCCAACACACACCATGTACTTCTGCCAATTTTCTCCACATCAGTTTATGGCAATGCCATAACTTCAGTATTTCTAGCCCAAACCTTGGAATCCTCCTATGATCTCTCTATTTTTTATTTTTTTAAATCCAACATTTCAACAAATCCCATTCTGTGGAACTTCACAGTACGTCCAAAATCCAGGCACTTCTCACCACCTCCTCACTACTACCCTGGTCCAAGCCACCATCGCCTCTCCTCCAGGTGACTGCAGCAGCCTCACACCTGCCCTCCTCCCTCTTCAGTCCCTTCTGAAACATGGGGCCCAGAGTAACTCCATTAAAGGTAAATTAAACCGTGCCACTTAACACTCTGACTGGTTTCCTATTTTTCTCTGAGTAACAGCTGAAATTTTTACAATGGGACCTTCCCCTTCTTTTATCTGTCCCACATCTTCTTGGTTTCCTCTCCACCTCTCTCTAATCCCAGTGGCCTCTCTGCTGTTCCTTAGACAATTCCCCTATGCTTTATCTTCAGGGCCTTTCTACTTGCTGTTCTCTCTTCCTTCATGACTTTGTACCTTGATCCCCTCCAGTCCCCAGGCCACCACTGATCTCTCTTAATTAAATATTACCTGATTCTCAGTTGGAACTTCCGTAGGGTCCCAACTTAAAATCCATTTCATCCTCCTTCCTTGCTTTCATTTTCCCCCAATTACATCCTTATGTAATCAACTATGTATTTAACTTGTTGATCTTGCTTATGTGTCTGTTTCCCCATCAACACTATTATATCCCTAGACTATGAACATGGGGATTTTTTTTTTTACTTCTATGTACACTGCACCAAAACCATGCTTGAAACACAGAATGGGCTCCATAAATATTTGTTGAATGAAAGAATGGGCAAAGCATAGAGTACACTCACTCAATGTAGCATCCATAAATGATGTAAGCAAGTCAAACAGTGGGTTGACCAACTATTGAAAGAATCAGTTCACCTCTTTGGTTTGCAAGAGTCTATGACCTTTAAAGCCAGTGGAAAAATCAGGTTTCCTTGAAATTAAATCCAGTCCTGCCTAACCCCAGACTCACAGTTTGCTGCTATCGTCTGACTCATCTCAGCATGAGTCATCCATCTCCAACTGATTCCAACACAATTTTGAGAAAACACAAACCTTTCCCTTAGTCCTTCACAATGATACTCTACACAGAATTGTGAAGAGGCATTTTTTACTCAACAATATATTCTGTATATTTTTGTTTCTAACATATTTAGCTCTGCCACATTCTCTTAAAGATTGCCTGCCCCTGTGTCCATTAAAGAACACTTGCATATGCTCTAGTTTTTCACTATTTTAATGATTCTGAACACTGTAGAACATATGTACCTGGAACTTTTGCACTTAAAAATGATTCCTAGAGACAGAATTGTGTGTAGAATGGGGACCTATCTTTAACATGCTGTCCTGGATTTTGTAAAGTAAACATTCTGTTGTAGTTGTAGAACAATATTTAATATCATACTTAATATGATGCTGTATATAATGTAAATTTTAAAAACTGTACACCAATTCATCCATGCATATGTTTAGAAAACTTCAGGAATAAATCAAAATTAGCTATTAATAGATTAGCTCTGATAGTAAAACTACAATAAGAATAGGAAACAGTTTTTCTCTTTCACTCTACCTCAGTTTAGCATTGTTTTAATTTATCTCCATTAAGCTATCAGTTTGTAATATTTTTAGGACTAGTTTTCAAAGAGGCATTGAAAAATAAACATAATCATAGTTTTTTAAAAATCCATTTGTTTCCGAAGTAAAAAATCAAGTTCCTGTCTTGCCACTCATTACCCTAAGGAAGTCATGGATAACAATGTTAATTGACTTCACACATGTGTGCTACTCATTTATCATCATCTATACATACCTCTGGTTACCTTTGCAAGTACACAGATGGCATCTGAACTTGGGCCTAGGAACAAGATCTGGAAGGGAGTCAGGTTTGTGAATAATGTCAGAGGTGGAACTGACAAAACTTGGAATTGATGTGTAGAACAGATAAAAGAGGACTGTTGGAAATGTTTTGAATGAGTGTTCAAAGTGTATGTTTTGGAAAAAAAATAGGAAGAGGAGCCATAGGGGAGAGAAGGAGCTAATGAGTTTGCTTTGGGACATGTAAAGTTTGAAAAGCCTCAAGGATACAAACATGGAAAAGTGTAATGGGCTATTGGTGAAGCACTCAGAGATTTTGGAATTCTAGGTTTGGGAATTGTAATGTGGGTAGATAGTTTAAGTCATGAGTGTAGACAAAACTACCTAAGGAGAATGACAGAGGTCAATAAAGATAAAGGGGTGAAGGATGGACTCAGGAGCACCCACATTTAAGGTTCAGACAGAGAAGGGAAGAAGGACAGAGAATGGGAGACTAAGAAACGTATGATGTCAGAGGAGTAAACGAGGAGCAGAAGAAAATAAGTGCAAGTGTAAAAGTGGGATAAGAAATATCAAAGAGGATGTTGGATTAGATACTTAGGAGATTGTAGGAAATCATCTGGAGCAACACTGTCCAACTGAAATATAATGCGAGACACATAATTTCAAATTTTTCATATCATGCGTTTATGGAAATAAACATGTAAAATGAATTTTAATGGTATTTTTTAGCTTAATAAATCCAAAATATTATCATTTTAATGTGTAATCAATATAAATTATTAATGAGATATTTTAATTTCTTTTGGTATTAAAGTCATCAAAATCTTATGTGTATTTTATACTTACAGCACATCTCAATTCAGATTAGATAAATTTCAAGTCCTCAATAGCCACTTGTGACTAGTGGCTACTACATTGTACAGTGCAGGTCTAGAAAGTGAATTCTGTTGAAATGCAGAGGCAGGTGCCATAGAATAAAGTGTTTAGGAATAAGTGAAGTGTACAGAAGTAGGAATATGAGTTTCTTTTTCAAGGAGTTTCGGTGGCAAGAAGGATAGAGATTGGGCTGCAGCTGGAATGGGAGATGAGAAGTTGAAAGCTGATATTTGAGGATGAAACAGCTTTCCAGGCTGAGGTAAGAAGTCATAAGAGAAGGAAGGATTGTTGAAGCATGGTTCTGGAGAAGGAGCAGAAGGCAATGGAGTCAATTCTGATATGGGTTTTGGCTTTGGATGTGGGCAAGGAGATATGTTCTTTGCAGGAAGTAGAAGAGACTAGCAAGAGGAAGAAAGTTGAGGATTCAGTTACATATTTTTCAGGTCTCAGATGTCACCCTTCTGTGGAAGTTTCCAAAGATACTTTTTGTAATGGTTAGTTTTATGTGTCAATTTGGCTAGTCTATAGTAGCAAGTTATTCAATCAAATATGCATTCTGTCATATCTGCTCCTGTGCTAGCATTTCAACAATTTCTAAGTGTACAATTCAGTGACAGTAAATGCATTCATAATGTTCTGTAATCATCACCACTCAAAACTTTTTTATCACCCCCATCAGCCTCCCCTACAAATTTCAGTCTTGCCAGCTACACAATCTCATAAGCCAATTCCTTGAAATAAATTTCTTTTTATGTATATGTGTTTGTACGTATGTATGCATGTATGTAAGTGTGTTTGTGTGTATGTGTGCTTCTGGTTCTGTTTTTCTAGAGAACTGTGACTGATACACCCCTTGACTAGATTGATGACCTTCTTCTGTTCTCCAACAACACCTCATGCTTACCCCCATCCTAGTACTTGTGACACCATATTGCAATTGCCTGTTTTGTTTTTCTTTCCCTCAAAGACAGAGGTTGTCTTTAAGGAGGGTGCCCAGCATCTAGCAAAATATCTATTATGTTGTAGACACTTCCTGACTTTTTGATGAGTGAATAAAGCGTTTAAATTTATTTTCTAAGGGAGGTAGTTTTAGGCTGGGAGTGAGACCATGGGCATGATCTGAGGAAAATTTAGGAGGAGCTAGGGCTTTTGTCCTTACCAAGGATCTAGTCCTGTCAAAGACTTGGCTTCTTCTAAGAGAATCTTTTTTTTCTAATGGGAAATGCATGGTTTCATGTTGGTCTGTGGAAACCAGAGGAAGATAATGGAGTTCCTGTACAATCATCAGTGATTGTTCTGGAGGAAAAACAGCAATGACCAGGCATTTCCAAATGACACCTGGTACGGTGGAAAGAAATAGAAGTGTTCTAAGTGAAACAAACTTAAGGCTCCAAGTTTTAAAACACATTATAAAGCAATAGCTATGTCTATAATGGCCCATATTTATAATACCAGACACTTGAAATTTGTGGTGCCTTTGATGAAAAAACTAGAAATTCTGAGCTATAGGAAAAAGCAGAGAACTAGGAAAAGTTCACTTATATGAAAGACTCTACCCATAAGTGATAAAGTAAACAGCATTAAACAATGAGGAAGTTAGATAATATTTAATAAATGGAACTAGGTGGTAACTAGTGATGAAAAATTTATATTGATTTCCATTTTAAAGTATGTCAAACATTCTTGATCAATTCAAGTAGATTGCTCAAATTTATACAACCTTTATTGAGTCTCTACAATTGTCCAAGGAACCACAGTTGGGAAAAGGTGATAAAAATGGGATATAAAAGTCTGTCATACAACCAGGAGCTATAAAGGTGACTAATGGGTAAGCGTAGTTTTGATTGGTTAAATAACTTCTTCCAAAGTTATTTTCAGGAATTCTTAAGAGTATTTTTTATTACATTTTTCTTCTATTTTATCTCTTCCTACTCATGTTTTTGTACCTCCTCTTATGGTCTAGATTGGAAAACACCAAAGTCCACTGTAAGGAAAGCTTTTTCATCATCCATACATCCCACTTTTATTTATTTATTTGTTTATTTTTAAATTGAGGTCATATTGGTTTATAATATTATGTAAATTTCAGGTGTACATCATTATATTTCACCTGCTGTGTAGACTGCGTGTTCACCACCAAGAGTCTAGTTTCCATCTGTCACCATACATATATGACCCCTTACCCTTTCACCTTTCCCCCATTCCCTTCCTCTGTGGTAATGACCAATCTGTTCTCCATATCTATGGCATACATCCCACGTTAAATAAGACAAGTTGCACAGGGCTGTAGTGTAATTATCAACATGGATGCATCTGACTCCAGGGTCCATATATTGTAGGCCTGAAAAGTAACTGATTAAAATTAGTTCCTTTAGGAAAGTAACGTCAGCATCATAGTGGAGTGAGCTGTTCCCTTAGTCTCCCCCAGCTAAGATACACCCAAATGGATATTCATTAACCAACTGAGGTTTCCCTACAAAGCACAATAGGATGTCTGAGAGATCCACACAGCTATACATCTGAAGGTGCATGTACTGGACCCCTGGGAAGTGGTGGTAGGAAGTAAGGAAATCCCCTGTCCCTCCCCAGCAGCAATGATCTAAGACACAGGCCCTCATGCAGCAGCCAGCACATGGCTGAAAGAGGAGGCATGGTAGCAGGCAGGCTGGCATGTGAATGCTTTTACTTTTGGAGTTACAACCAAGCCTGCAGGAACACTCCACACAGAGTGGCATGGCTCAGCCACTGTATGGGTGCTCCCACCAAAAACAGCAGCCCAGGCAAACTGCCTGTGAGTATAGTGTAAGCCCACACTCATGTGAAAGAAAGCGCCCCTCCCTTCTCAGCACACCAGCTTGGCTGGTCCCCAACAAAGACAGTGGATCCATACCACAACACCTGATTGTGCATATGTGACCCACCAGCAACTGTGGCCAGTAGGCAAATGCAGATGAGTCCAGTCAGCACAACTTTCAGCAGATATGATGGGTTCAGAAAAGACAACTCTGCCCCTCCCCTAGTAGTGGCAGGTAGAATCTGTGACTTGATACTACCACTATGCCCTGATAAAGGATCAGTTCATCAAACACCATGAAGAACTACATTAACAATCCAGAGCAGAAGGAAAATGACAAGTCTCTAGAAACCAATCCTGAAGCAACATGTCATAAAGAAACTCAATGAGTTACAAGAAAACTCAGAAAGATAGTTCAATGAGCTCAGGAATAAAACTAAACAGCAGAAGGAATTCTTCACAAAAGAGATAGAAACTCTAAAAAAAAAAAAAACCCAAACAGAAACTCTGGAGATGAAAAACATAATTAATGAGATTTTTAAAAATCTAGAAACCTTAAAAAACAGAGCTGACATTATGGAGGACAGAATTAGTAATTTAGAGGATAGAAATGTAGAAATGCTTCAAGTGGAGGAAGAGAGAGAACTAAGGGTTTAAAAGAATAAACAAATTCTTCAAGAAATGTCTAACTCAATTGGGAAATGCTACATAAGGATTATAGGTAGTCCCAAGGTGGGGGTGGGGGGTGAGGAGCAGAGAGCTTGTTCAAAGAAATAATAGCTGAGAACTTCCCAAACCTGGGGAACAAACTGGACTTACAAGTTTATGAAGTAAATAGAACTCCTACCTACATCAATGCAAAAATACCGTCTCCAAGGGATATGATAGTAAAACTGGCAAAAGTCAATGACAAAAATATATTAAGGGCAATAAGGCAAAAGAGAATAATCTACAAAGGAACCACTATCAGGCTCAGGCTCTTAGCGGATTTTTCAGCAGAAACCTTACAGGATAGGAGAGAATGGAATAATATATTCAAAATACTGGAAGACAAAAACTTTCAGCCAAGAATACTCTGTCTAGTGAAACTATCCTTTGGCTAGAATGGAGAAATAAAAGCTGTCCCAGATAAACAAAAGCTGAAGGACACATCACCACTAGACATCCTTATAGAAATGACCAAGTATGCCCTCATACCTGAAACAAAAAGGCAAAGGAGTGCAAAGACTTGAGCAAGGAGATAAATAGTCAGACAAAATCAGAAAATTTCAGCTCTGTATCAGAACAGGTTAGCAGACAATTATAACATAAAGATAAAGGGAAGGAAAGCATCAAAATTAACTATAAACACTTCATTCTAATCACAAACTCACAATACAAAGCAGAATAACTTGTGAAAATAATAACATAGAAGAGGAAGATGAAAGGAATGGAACCTGCTTAGGCTAATGGAGATAAGAGGCTATCAGAAAATGGACTATCTCATCTTTGAGATCTTTTATACAAACCTGATGGTAAGAAATAAACAAAAAATCAGAGCAGAGCCACAAATCACAAGTAAAGAGAAGACCTACACAGAAAACCACTAAATTGAAATGAGAGGAATACAAGGGAAAAAGAAACAAGGGAAATATAGCTTGGAAAACAAAAGATAAAATGGCAGCATTAAACCCTCATATATCAATCATCACTCTAAATGTAAATAGATTGAATTCTCCAATCAAAAGTCACAGAGTGGCTGGGTTGAT